AAATCTTCAGTGTTAATTTTTGGTTATAAACGCCAAGAAGTACAAAGTAAATTAAAGATAATGGTTGACAATAAAGAATTAAGTGCTGTCGTGTGCTAAGAATCTGGGGGTTGAACTGGATGTGGATCTTAGATTTAAAAAACATACTGCAAAGCTACTTCAGAGAGCATATTGTAACCTTAAGATGCTTTATCCCCATCGTAAAATACTTATACCAACTAAAATAAAAATTACCGATACATTAGTTCTTAGTCATTTTAATTATTGTGATGTATTGTATGGGCCTTGTTTAGACGTTAGAGATACCGCCAGAATAGAAAAAGTTCAGAAATCTTGTTTGCGTTATATACATGGTATTCGGAAATATGATAGAATATCTCATAAACTTAAGGAGGCAAAATGGATGAACATGGCAACTAGGCGTAGACTGCACTCTCTGACTCTGTTCCATTCAATTATAATAAATAAAACTCCACCTTACCTTTATGAAAAAATACAGTTTCGTACTGATATTCACAATTTGAATTTGAGGCACAGGGGTCTCATTTCACCCACTTCGCACCGATCTGCATTGTTTGAACGATCTTTTACATTTAATATTTATAGTATGTACAACAATCTAGATTCTAGATGTTAAGTGTAAGAACTGCTCTTTGGGTGAATTTAAGTTAAAAGCAAGAAAAATACTTTCTGAATATTGATTAGGTTGCATGTTGCGTGTAGGTGCTGTTTTCTGTCTGATTTTTGTGGCAAATTTTAGATTGCCTTTGGTTGTTTTGTTTTTATTATATTTAAATTATTATTTTATATTACTTTTTTTTAACTTTGAGGCTGGAACTTGATCAGCAACTGTTGTTTTTCCAGCCTTTTTGTAGTTTGTAAGATTATATTGTTGTTTTTTGTATGATAATGTTTGTTTGTAAACTAATCTGTATAAATTTTGTTGCATTGTATATATACAAACTTCAATAAATATATATTATTATGTATTTTGTTTATTAAAAGCAAAGTTTTTATTTACATTTTGTCCATTGGGCGCAAAACTGTGCGCCGCCGCGCCGTTTCAATTCTGCGCCACTAGCTGCTCGACGCCTCTACCTGCCAAAAGGTGACAAAACGCCAGTATGCAAATCGCCAGGAGTTGAGCAGTTAAATGCCCGTGCATTCGCTGTGGAGTTTAAAACAAATGCGGTGGTAAGAAAATGAAACACTTGTATAAGAATTAATTTCATAAAATTTATTTAGTAATTCCATAAATATTTATTAACACAGCTTTTCGACAGTGGGGTCGGGTGTTACATATAACTTATTAATTATTCAAGGCCGCCACGCGATTTAATTTGACAGGAAGCTGTTGCACAATAATAACCTTAAATCGCGAAATTGGCCACCCGTTATAATATTGAAAATATTTTAAAAATACTGAAGTTCATTAAAAATGTACAAAGGCAAAACTTATCTAAGAAAACTAAGTTAAATCTAAATTGAAAATACATTTCCAAATTATAGAATTATTAATATTCCAAATGCCAAATATTCAATATTCTAATTCCAAATGTCAAAATGAAAATTCTGATATGTTGTCTTAAAGGTCGAATAACAATTTAATCACAGTGCGTAAGTTTGTTGAATTTAATTTATCAGTCTCAACAAAATTAACTTCTATATATCCAACAAACCTGACACGGTGCGATTAGCATTAAATAAAATATACAATGTTAACAATAAAACAGGTTGCGTCCTTCTAAAACTAAGTTGTCTTGCGATACCAAGAGATTAGTCCTGACAAAAAAAACATTGAACGGGTTTTCATTTCTCGAGGGGGATGTTGCAATTGGATGTTAAAATTTGGTTTTCCACCGTCTAGTATGGATGGAAGGTTCTATATTATGGACTCGACTTAAATCCAGTATCCACGTCTGGAATACTGAAATGAGCCGATTGAGTTAATTTTTGCTCTTCTAGTAGGCTCACAATCCCTTAAGAGGTTTCGAGTCTTCCCAAAAAATTCACACAATTGGAAGCACTCTCACTTAAACTTCACAGAGTAAGATCCACATAGAGCGTTTCACCAAAAGATACGTTTTAACACTCTGAGAAAAAACTCACCTACTTTAGTTAAGTCAAAAGAGTAACTACCCAAAAATATCGTACGATTATTGAAAGAGAGAAAGGCAAACAAATACTTGTAATTTGATGTTGAAAATTCATCGGCTTGGGATTCCCATGCTAACAATGATTGATTCCAAATTCATGGAGTAAAAAGAGAAAAAGATAGTTTATTTATTACGAAATTATAAAGAGATATTATGGAATATTTTTGGACACTAAAAATAATCAGATATGGCATCAAACAGTTGGGGGGAAAACAGTAACTGACGTAATTGACATGAATATTTTATATGTAATTTTAATTTTAAAAGAAAAACTCCCAGCCTTTCAAAATTCCGGTTGTAAGTATTGTCTTTTAAAGACGGAGCGGGAGATGTATATACTCAAATCGCTTCGACGAAGTTATAATCCTTAAACACAAGCTATTTTGTTTATGCCATTAGAGATACAGTAAGAAAAACTGTGCTGAAATATTTCAAGATGGTGTAAAGGTATTGTAAGTTTATCTTTTTGGCGGATGTTAATATTATGTATATCAGTGCGGAAACGAATCTTGTTATATAAATATGGAGGATTTTTAGTAGTTAGGACAGAGTGCTACAAGCAAAGGGAATGTAAGAATCGTCTGTTTTCCATTCTTGACCAGTTGTACTCTTTGTAGATATGACTAATGTGTTGATATTTCCGAATATCAAAAATCAATCTCAAACATGAATTTTGCAATTTTTGAATTCGTCCATCATCATATGCATTTAAAAAAGGACCATATAATACGTCACAATAATTGAAGTTCGAAAGAATAAGTGATTCGCAAAGAATTGTTTTAATATTTCTATTTAAAAAATGACGATGGTGATATACTAATGTAAGATTTAAATATGATCTTTGCAAACACTTGTTAATGTATGTAGTAAATTTTAAATCCTTGTCGATGTGAAGCACTAAACTTTTTAAATTATCAACAAATTAAATTGACTGATCTTCAACTTGAATTTGGCTACTTAAGTTGTCTAAAAAGAATTTTCGATCGTATTTTACAAACATATACAGTGCTTGACGGGCCTTTCGGACGAACTCATGGGATCTGTTTCGTTGGTTTGATATGGTTTCAAAGTGGCGGAACTCCGATGTCATTGGAAGCACTTGCGAAACAAATTTCGCAATGGTTTGGTGAAAAGCGAATATGTGATTTTCCAATTTGAGGGGTTCCATTGGCGTGCTGGAACGGGACTGGTGAACTGGACGGGCATGACCGGTTAAAATTGAATAGTTTCTTTGGCGATGAGTTGTCGACATGAAAAGAAATTCCGACAGCAGGTTTGGTACGTGGGATGAGAAATACACGAGCGGCATGGTAAAGCGTTGTTGAATAATAGTTAAACATATTCAAATAATTCGGTTATGGCACCACCGCAGCCCTCCATTCCGGTTCATACGGTTGTGCCTCTTTTTCTTGAATTCAGCAGTTACATTTCTAAGCTGCTGGTAGGCTTCTGCAATTCTAATACGTAATTCATCTACAGATTGAGGTCTAGACTTGTTGTTGCTTTAAGAAATCCCAAAGAAAGAAATCAAAGGGTGTTAGGTCCGGGGATCTCGGTGCCCACTCAATTAGCGGGCTATTTCGACCTATCCACTTATTTTCAAAATTTCCATTTAACCATTCCCTGACAACTGCCACGTTATGCACAGGTGATCCGTTCAATTGAAATTTTAAATTCAAACGGGTTTAGCATGGTAAATTATGTATTGCATCCCAAAAGTCAATCAGAAAATTCAAAGACATTCGTGATTCAAGTTTCTCAAAAATTAAAAAAAAAAAAAAAAAAAAAAAAAAAACATTTTAATTTCTGAAGAATACAATATTTCTGTATTGATCAACCATTCAGGGTTTTCGACTACCCAGAATCGCGAATTTTGAGAGGATACTACTCTGTTTGTACTAAATGTTGCCCCTCATCGCTAAATAAAATTTCTTGAAACATCTCCTGCTTGAGCCCATGAGCGAAATTCACAATCATCAATATCTCGATTTTTCGAAGTGTGTAAATCTTTGGTTTAAAGGTTTGAACTTTATTAGTTCTAAACATCTCCTAATATTTTCCCTGGTATATCCAAATCAACATTGGCGCCTCTAATGCTTGCACGGGGATTGTTACGAAAATATTCTAATATTTTACTCATTCCACGCCTATTTATTCGATGTTCCGGCCTTCTGTTTTTAGTAAGTATTTTGACACACAACCAGTTTCATTAATAACTCTATTTATTCGTTGAACCGTGCTTATACTTACTGCAGGTCTGTCCGGATGTCTGTTGTTAAATTCTCTGGCAGCTTCACCTGCTTGAAGATAGTTATCACACACTAAACGAATAATTTCAATTTTATCCCTAATATTTAATTGTTCCATAATGCAAATAATATTTCTTGATACAACACTTTTCTGCATTATAATATTCAATTCTACGCTGCAAAAATTGACAGCTAATAAAACACATTGTTGTGGATTGTTTTTTACAAGGGTTACGTGATAACACATCGTTAAATTGTTCAGCAGAAAATAAGGGAATGTGCTGCATTTAACTACAGAATGTAATTAATATTTTTAAGCAGAAATTTGGTACAAGAACTGTTTTGAGATGCAGAATGTAGGGGGTGTACTCAATTGCACGAAAAATCGCTAATATAATTTTGCAAATTTTTTTTTTTTATGATTTTTTTTAAGTAGGCCTTGTTTTTGTGAAATAACATGACATTAAGCCCTAAAGTACATTTTATGAAACTTTATGGCTGAAAAGAATATCAAGAAGGATACAATTTCTCGGTATTCAAGTCTGAAAATAGTTTCTGTCCTTTCAGAATTCTTACACATTTTTTCGTCAAATAACTCTCACCAATTGCCCAAACCATGCGAGCGAGCGAGACAATCGAGCTGTTTGAAACATGGAAGATGGTGGCGTTTTATGTAGTCATCCAGTCATCTTTCTCCCAACTCTGCTGACGCTTCAACAGCATTTCAAGAGCTGTAGCTCGCTTTCGCTTCTTCTTAACCATTGCCTCAGAACTGGGAATCATTAACCTAGATTCTTCCTGAGGCTCCAAGGCAATACTTATAAAAGGTCGTAAATTTACTTCATTGGAACCAACGCCCCGATATAAGACTTCTGAATCATCAGAGGAATCTGAATCATCAGAAGAATCGGATGTCACATTCAAAGAAGGAATTTCAACGTGCGGAATCTCTTCCTCTTCGAGGGCAGTAGAGGGCTCTGCGACAGTTTCCAGAGCCTGAGAAGTCGCCCTTCCCCCAGCTCCTTCGCCTGTCGTAGAGACTTCTGCTGCAGTCGTAGAGGAAGATGGTCCACCCCTTGCTCGAGCTCCACGGCCACACAACATAGGTAAAAATTGTGTTATGTGGCTGTGGGGCCCGAGTAAGTGGTACAGTTTCTCGATTTGTCTATCGAAGAGTTTGCACTCGACTCGAACGCCGGCTCGTCGTTTCGACACGAAATATCTCAGCAATTGATAAGTTTCGATCTCCAGAAACCGCTGTTGAAACTCAAAATAGGTAACATTTTGAGCTTCACAGCCGTTGAAGGAGATCGATTCATATCGTTTGAAGAAAAAATCTACTTCAAACGAGGTGCACCTTCTACATCGTGCCCAGGTCGAAATGATTAATGGTCAAACCAAACCAAACCAAACTAATTATTTATTAAAGGCCATGGTAATCATTGGCGGTTAAACGAAATGCGAATGGACATGGCGTTCGCATGCGCATGGACATAAACCACGAGAAAACTGGGACGCGTTTCTGCCAAAGAATGGAGTTTTTTGGATCGATCTGTTCTCGTACACATGCAGATCATTACTGAAGAATCGCAAGCTAAAAAATCGATCTTTAGCGAGAATCGACCTTTTTTTAATTAATAAAAAAAAAAAAAAAAAAAAAAAAAAAAACAATAAATTAAAATATATATTTCGTATTTTGCATGACTTTACAAGACACAAACTGGCAAAAATAAAATAAGAAAGTTTTTTTTAAAATAAAATTTAAAAGAATTATTACATTGACAAAAACTGATCTATTTCACAAAATGTCAATCACGTCATGAAGCGAGCAGAAATATATAAAAAGAAGCGCATTTCGTTTTTGGATTAGTATAGTCAGTTCGCACTGAGTATGTTTCCCTCTTCTATCAGACACTAATTATTATTAAAGGATAGAAATACACAGCGCGCTTTTAATAAGCAAAAGACGGTTTAATTAAAACTTCCGAAAATGCAATGGAAGAATATTTGCTTTGCTTGCGATGAGGAGAAGTTGCCCTCCATTTTCCAGGGAATCATTGAAATTAACTTATATACATAGAAGCCGTTGCATCCTGACATGTTCATTAGTCGTAACATTTGGGGGACACCTGTGAGACCAGTGTCTCTATCTCCTATTCTTATATTACCACCAGGGATTTGGTATGGACTTCGTTTTACAAGAATATTAAGGGGATAAAACATTCTATGTGTTTTCCTTGAAGTGGTTACTAACAAGATATCCATGATAGCTGTAACAAGGCCGCTGACTTCACTTGCAGTTTTCCCCTTCAATGCCTCAAGTATTTCTTCAATCATGGGGATGTGGGACATCGACCTCTTAGCAGCTGAGTCATTTCTTGATATTTTCCTCAGATCGTATGTGACAGAGCGATACAGTTCCCGCTCCAAGGGATTGAGGCATTGAACTTCTCTGTTCCGGTGGGAAAGTACACCCCTCCATTAGAATGTGATGAGCGCCAGTGATTCCGTATGAGGCAACTGGAAAGGATGTAATGATCCCGTTAGCTTTTCTAACTGGCATATTGGTGTGACCGCTCCTAAGTTCTCCTAGTCTATATATCCAGAGAAAAGTCTGACAGAACCGCACCAGCAGGTATATTTTCTGCATCTCCTGCTCTGTATTGTCTGAAGAGTAGTCCAAAAATTGTTGCAATCTCTACCATCTTCTTTTCCAATTCTATGTCTTTTAAAGAGCAGCTGGTTCCTAAAAAAATCAAGCTGAATTCCCTAGCTTGACCCATTTTTGCCAATTGGTTAGCAGTTCTCCCGTATGTACTTTACCTCTTGATGTTGAGGTATGGAGACTATGGCGGTGACCTACGTTCCAAGACCTATATATGAAGCGTCAGCAGCTGGTATTTGCATCCTTATATTATAGATTTCTTCAGCGAATGTAACCAGGAAGTTTAACACCTTTTCTTTCTGATCCTCATTCAAGTTGGCTCTTGATCGTCTTTCTGTGGGCAGCTCTTGCAATGTGTCTGGGTTGACTATAAGATCATTATTACTTTGGTCAGTTTCCATCGCAGTTGTAGTACTTTGATCGGTCATTTTAGTTTGGACAAGAAGATATGAACAATTGCGAGTAAAGACCTACGTTTGCTTCTTATTAAAAATAGTAAAACGGTTTGGTTAAATCATTTAAAATCAGAAATCGCATTTCAAGGTCGTTTTCTGAAGAATCGGAATGCAAAATCGTTCCTACTAACAGTCACTATTAATATTCAACACTCGTTCGAGGGCGAATTAGCCGGAACTGCGGGTTGGGGACGGTGCAGGGATTGAGTTTAGAGGTGAAAATCAACCAGCAAGAGACAAATAAGCAGTTTTTGTTTTGCGCCAAGCGCAGAAATGCATACCACTCGAGCTGAAAACGTAGAGGCGTTTGCCAAGCGAGTATGGATGACTGGCGAAAACAAATCAACGATACCACGACAGCTTCGGAACAGGAAGATGCGCTGCTCATTTCCAGCTATAATAGAGAGTTCGCGCGAACCGACAGGAGGTTGTCACCACTGCCGAAGCCGCATTACCTGCTGGTGCTTCCCGGTCAAAACGAAAACGGAAGACTCGAACGAACAAATGAACAAACGCAGTATCTCAACAATTGATAGGAACACCGATCTCCGAGCCCCGCTGTTGCTGAAACTCAAACTGGGTAACGTTTAGGCTTCGCATGATAGAAGGAGAGATCGATTCATATCGTTGAAGAAAAATCTATAAAATTCACCGTTTGTGGTTCTTTCCATATGAGCGGTGCACCTTCATCAGGCCACCCCAGGTCGAATGATTCGGCCGATTAAATAAACCGAATAAACTAATTATTTATTAAGAATATGAGTAATCACGTTGCGTACGTTGGCAAAGGCGAAGAATGGACGGCATTTAATGTGGATACGCATGCATGGGGCGCCAAACCATAAACTGAAGCTAGGTTGTACGTTGCAAAAAGATCGTTTTGCCGGATAATCTATATCAGAGGTAATTTTCGGGAATGAACTGAAAAATCGCAAAGCCGAAATGAATAACTGGTGAGAATCGATCTTTTTCCGTGCAGGTACTGACTGATTTCCGTTTTATGACAGGTAAAATATAGTACTAAACTTTGCCTGAGGCTGCCGAAACGCCGAAACAAATACGAGTGAAGAGCCAAAATTTAAAATTATTTATTAATGAAAAACGAATATCAGTTTTCCACTAATGATCGTCGTCGCGACGAGCGAATAGCAAAGAAACATGTTTCGTTTTTGGATTAACGTATATCAGTTCATGCTGGGTATGTTTCCCTCTTCATCAGAGACAATAAGGACGAAATTACCTGGCCTTGTAACAAGGTGGTTTGTTCAGGCTTCGAAATGCAATGGAAGACTGACGCTGGCGCGATGAGGAGATTCCCTCCATTTTCAGGGAATCATTAGAAATTAAACTTATGTACGTAAAGCCGGTAAAATGCGACTGTTGATTATTTGGGGACACTGACGAATGTCTCCTCTCTATTACCTGGGGTTATTTTAGCGGACTTCGTTTTCGATATGGGATAAAACATTCTATGTGTTTTCCTTGAAGTGGTTACTAACAAGATATCCATGATAGCCGTAACAAGGCCGCTGAGTTCACTTGCAGTTTTCCCCTTCAATGCCTCAAGTATTTCATCAATCATGGGGATGTGGGACATCGACCTGCCAGCTATGACCGATATAAGGTCGTATGCGACAGGCAATGGGTTTCCTTTCGATTGAGGCATTGAACTTCTCTGTTCCGGTGGGAAAGTACACCCCTCCATTAGAATGTGATGAGCGCAGTGATTCCGTATGAGGCAACTGGAAAGGATGTCATGATCCCATTAGCTTTTCTAACTGGCATATTGGCGTGACCGCTCCTAAGTTCTCCTAGTCTATGTCTATATCCAGAGAAAAAAAGTCTAAGTAAGGAGCCGCTTTACAACAGATACTGGTTTTCTGCATCTATACTCTGGCATTATCTGGAAAAGACGGTAAAAATTGTTGCAATCTCTACCATCTTCTTTTTCAATTCTATGTGTTTTCGAGAACTGGACACTAAAATTCAGGCTGGTTACTACGGCCATTCATTTTATAATTGGTTATAGTTCCTCTCTTGATGTTGTGAAGGTGCCTTGAAGACCATGGCGGTGACCTGCGTTCCAAGACCATATGTGACGTCAACCTTCATTGGTACATCTTATCATATTACATGATTTTCTTTAATGAATATGCGGATTCGCTTTTATGATCCTCATTAGGGTTGATCTTGATCGTCTTGCTGTGGGCAGCTCTTGCAATGTGTCTGGGTTGACTATAAGATCATTATTACTTTGGTCAGTTTCCATCGCAGTTGTAGTACTTTGATCGATCATTTTAGTTTGGTTTTAAAGATACGTTTTGTTAGAGTAAAGAACCTGCGTTTGCTTCTTAATTAAAAAAAATAAGTAAAAAACGGTTTTGGATTAATCAATTCCAGAAATCAGAAATCGCATGTCAAAAGATCGATTTTCGAGTCGATTTCAATCGAACATCCTACCAACGAATACTATGCTCAGTTCAGGGGCGGAGGTGGCGTTTAGGATGAGGGGACGGTTAGGGTTGATTTAGGAGGTTAAAATAAACCAGAACTGGTACTGAGACAAATAAAACGTTTTTGTTTTGCTGTAAACGTAAGCGGCGTCTATACCACTCAATAAAATATGACCATTTCGTTATGGCGGCGCTGAACTATTGAACCGTCAGAATCTAACAATCACCGACGGCTTCCGGAACAAGATGCCTTTCCTCGTTCTCATTATGAAGGTTCGCCAACGTTAAACGATTGTCCACCACTATAAACCCACGCAGGCACTACTGTCACTGGAATGTGAAACTTCTTCGGAAGAGACTCCGGGCATAAGGCTCGTCGTTTCAGGCTGAAATATCTCAACAGTCGGTTTCGATCGACCGCTGTTGAAACTCAAAATAGGTAACATTTTAAATAAAAAAAAAAAAAAAAAAAAAAATATCAATTTACAGAAAAATCTGTAAAAATTACCATTTTGTGGTTCTTTTCCATGTCTTCAAACGAGGTGCACCTTCTACATCGTGCCCAGGTCGAAATGATTAATGGTCAAACCAAACCAAACCAAACTAATTATTTATTAAAATATGGTAATCACGTTGGCGGTTGGCGCCGAAATGAAGAATGGACGGCATTGTCATGGACCGCATGCGCATGGACGCCAAGCCCGCCAAGCCACGAGCTAGGACTGTGCGTTTCTGTAAAAAGAATCGATTTTGCGGATAAGTCGCATCGGTAATTTGAATCGATACAGAAAAGAATCTGCTGACTAAAAATCAGTCTTTGGTAGGAATAGATAACGTCTAAAATTTTGACTCGTTTCCGTTTTATGACCATTTAAAACCATATATTTCTATTTTTATGACTTTTACCTACGAACCCGCAAGAACTTATAAAACAAAACCAAGATGAAACCAGAATTGCAGGTACATTGACAAAAAACGATCTCAGTATTTCACAAAAAATAAAAAAAAAAAAAAAAAAAACGTAATTTCGTTTTTTGGATTAGTATAGTCAGTTCATAGTGTTATGTTTCCCTCTCAGACACTAATTGCTTTATTAAAGGGATAGAAATACACAGCCTTGCTTTTAATAGAAACGAACTGGTTTTAATTAAAACTTCGAAATACTAATGGAAGAATATTTTGCTGCGATGGGGAGAGTTGCCCTCGAGGGGATCATTAAATTAACTTATATACATAGAAGCCGTTGCATCCTGACATGTTCATTAGTCGTAACATTTGGGGGACACCTGTGAGACCAGTGTCTCTATCTCCTATTCTTATATTACCTGTAGGATTTGTTATGGACTTCGTTTACAAGAATATTAAGGGGATAAAACATTCTATGTGTTTGCCTTGAAGTGGTTACTAACAAGATATCCATGATAGCCGTAACAAGGCCGCTGACTTCACTTGCAGTTTTCCCCTTCAATGCCTCAAGTATTTCGTCAATCATGGGGATGTGGGACATCGACCTCTTAGCAGCTGTAGTCCATTTTCTTACGATATTTTTCCTCAGATCGTATGTGACAGAGCAATACAGTTCCCGCTCCAAGGGATTGAGGCATTGAACTTCTCTGTTCCGGTGGGAAAGTACACCCCTCCATTAGAATGTGATGAGCGCCAGTGATTCCGTATGAGGCAACTGGAAAGGATGTCATGATCCCGTTAGCTTTTCTAACTGGCATATTGGTGTGACCGCTCCTAAGTTCTCCTAGTCTATGTCTATATCCAGAGAAAAAGTCTAAGTAAGGAGCCGCTGTAGAATACCAATTTTCTGCATCTCCTGCTCTGTATTGTCTGAAGAGTAGTCCAAAAATTGTTGCAATCTCTACCATCTTCTTTTCCAATTCTATGTGTTTTAAAGAGCAGCTGGTTCCTAAAAAATTCAAGCTGAATTCCCTAGCTTGACCCATTTTTGCCAATTGGTTAGCAGTTCTCCCGTATGTACTTTGCCTCTTGATGTTGAAGGTATGGAAGACTATGGCGGTGACCTGCATTCCAAGACCTATATATGAAGCGTCAGCAGCTGGTATTTGCATCCTTATCATATTATAGATTTCTTCAGCGAATGTAACCAGGAAGTTTAACACCTTTTCTTTCTGATCCTCATTCAAGTTGGCTCTTGATCGTCTTGCTGTGGGCAGCTCTTGCAATGTGTCTGGGTTGACTATAAGATCATTATTACTTTGGTCAGTTTCCATCGCAGTTGTAGTAGCAGATAGTCAGCGCGTTGGTTTTGAAGATTTGTTTTGCGGTAAAGAACCTGGGCACAAATAAAAAATAGTAAAAACGGTTTTGGGACTAATCAAATTCCGAAATACAAATCACATTCAAGAATATCGATTTTTCTGAAGGAATAATTAAATCGAACATCCCTACTAACGATCCACCTATGCTCCTAACCTAACACTCGATTTCGAGAACTAGTGGCCGGGAACACTACGGGACAATTTAGAGATTGGATTAGGAAAGTTGAACAAACCAGAACTGCGCAACAGAACAATATGTTTTTGTTTTGTAGGCATGTGCAGCGTCACATACCATCAAATACAAAAATGCATTGTAAGCAGTATAGGTATTATTGTTTAAATAAAATCTAACAATCCCTGCGATAGCTTCCGGAGACCGAGAAGATGCACTTTCCTCGTTTCCTTCTCCTGTCGCAGAGTGTTCTGCTGCAGTCGTAGCAGGAGATGGTCCACCCCTTGCTAGCCCCACGGCCACTACTACCTAACACAATACTTCCAGAAGTTTGTAAACTTCTTCGGGAAGAGAACCGAACGCGCCGACAAATCGTTTTCGACACGAAATATCTAACGAATTGATAGGTTTCAGTCTCCGAAACCATATTTGAAACTCGAATAGGTAACATTTGAACTTCGTGATAGAATCGATTCTTATCGTTGAAAAATCACCAAAATTACCATTTGGTTCCATGTCTTCAAGCGGTACTTCTTTACATCTTATGCCCAAGGTCAGGCGTTAATGAACAAATTCAACTGTCAATAAATTATTTATTAAAATATGGTAATCACGTTGGCGGTTGGCGCCGAAATGAAGAATGGACGGCATTGTCATGGACCGCATGCGCATGGACGCCAAGCCCGCCAAGCCACGAGCTAGGACTGTGCGTTTCTGTAAAAAGAATCGATTTTTTGGATCGATCTATATCGAATGATTGCGAATCGATACTAGAAAAATCGCAAGCTAAAAACCTAAAAAAAAAAAAAAAAAAAACTTTTTAATTAAATTTTTGACTCTGATTTTCAGTTTTCGCAATAAATTAAAATGCCTGCCATTCTATTTTTATGACTTTTTTACGCAGGAACTTCACAAAACTATGAAGCAAAACAAAATTAAAATAAAGATTTAAAATTATTACATTGACAAAAAACGATCTCAGTATTTCAGAAAAAATGTCAATCGTCGTCAAGAGCGATAAAATATAAAAAACGTAATTTCGTTTTGGTTAGGTATGAATCGGTTTCACTGAGGCCGCCGAACCTCTTCTATGAACCTTAATTGTATTATTATTGGATAGAAATACACAGCCTTGCGCAATAAGCAAAGACGGTTTAGTCCAAAACTTCCGAAGTAAATGGAAGAATATTTGCTTTGCTTGCGATGAGGAGAAGTTGCCCTCCATTTTCCAGGGAATCATTGAAATTAACTTATATACATAGAAGCCGTTGCATCCTGACATGTTCATTAGTCGTAACATTTGGGGGACACCTGTGAGACCAGTGTCTCTATCTCCTATTCTTATATTACCTGTAGGGGGATTTGTTATGGACTTCAGTTTTACAAGAATATTAAGGGGATAAAACATTCTATGTGTTTGCCTTGAAGTGGTTACTAACAAGATATCCATGATAGCCGTAACAAGGCCGCTGAGTTCACTTGCAGTTTTCCCCTTCAATGCCTCAAGTATTTCGTCAATCATGGGGATGTGGGACATCGACCTCTTAGCAGCTGTAGTCCATTTCTTAAGATATTTCCTCAGATCATTATGTGACAGAGCAATACAGTTCCCGCTCCAAGGGATTGAGGCATTGAACTTCTCTGTTCCGGTGGGAAAGTACACCCCTCCATTAGAATGTGATGAGCGCAGTGATTCCGTATGAGGCAACTGGAAAGGATGTTATGATCCCGTTAGCTTTTCTAACTGGCATATTGGTGTGACCGCTCCTAAGTTCTCCTAGTCTATGTCTATATCCAGAGAAAAAGTCTAAGTAAGGAGCCGCTGTAGAATACCAATTTTCTGCATCTCCTGCTCTGTATTGTCTGAAGAGTAGTCCAAAAATTGTTGCAATCTCTACCATCTTCTTTTCCAATTCTATGTCTTTTAAAGAGCAGCTGGTTCCTAAAAAATTCAAGCTGAATTCCCTAGCTTGACCCATTTTTGCCAATTGGTTAGCAGTTCTCCCGTATGTACTTTGCCTCTTGATGTTGAAGGTATGGAAGACTATGGCGGTGACCTGCATTCCAAGACCTATATATGAAGCGTCAGCAGCTGGTGTTTGCATCCTTATCATATTATAGATTTCTTCAGCGAATGTAACCAGGAAGTTTAACACCTTTTCTTTCTGATCCTCATTCAAGTTGGCTCTTGATCGTCTTGCTGTGGGCAGCTCTTGCAATGTGTCTGGGTTGACTATAAGATCATTATTACTTTGGTCAGTTTCCATCGCAGTTGTAGTACTTTGATCGGTCATTTTAGTTTGGTTTTGGTGTTTGTTAGGTAAAAGGAACCAGATTTTGCTTCTTGAATGCAAAAAATAAGTAAAAAACGGTTTTGGATTAATCAATTCCAAAAATCAGAAATCGCATTTCAAAGATCGATTTTCGAATCGATTCAAATCAGACATCCCTACTAGCAATCCACCTATGCTCCTTCACTCGATTTCGTGGGCGAGTGGCGGAACTGCGGGACGGGGGACGGTTAGGGTTAGTTTAGGAAAGTTAAAATAAACCAGAGACTGTGCCAGAGACAAATAAACGTTTTTGTTTTGTAAACGTAAGCAGCGTCACATACACCACTCGAATGAAAATGCAGTGAAATTCCCATTGTAATGGTATAGGTATTGGCCGTCATCAACGATCCCACTGCGACGGCTTCGGAACCGCGAAGGCCGCACTTTCCTCGTTTCCTTCTCCTGTCGCAGAGAGTTCTGCTGCAGTCGTAGCAGAAGATTGTCCACCCCTTGATAAAGCCCCACGGCCACTACTACCTAACACAATACTTCCAGAAGGTTGTAAATTTGTTTTTTCGGAGGAAAAGACTCGAACGCCGGCTCGTCGTTTCGTCACGAAATATCTCAGCAATTGATAAGTTTCGATCTCCAGAAACCGCTGTTGAAACTCAAAATAGGTAACATTTTGAGCTTCACAGTCGTTGAAGGAGATCGATTCATATCGTTGACGTCAAAATTATTTGTGGTTCTCCCGTAATCTTTCTGGAAACGAGGTGCACCTTCTACATCGTGCCCAGGTCGAAATGATTAATGGTCAAAGGCAAACCAAGAACCAATACATTAACAGCTAAAATCACGTTGTGATTTTGTGCCGAAATGAAGAGAATGGACATGCGGACCATGCGCATGGACCTCAAACCCGCCGGCCGAAACTAGGAATGTGCGTTTCTGTAAAAAGAATCGGTGCAGGATGGTCTATATAGAATGATTGCGAATCGATACTAGAAAAATCGCAAGCTAAAAATCGATCTTTAGTGAGAATCGATCTTTTAATTAAATTTTGACTCCTACGATTTTCCGTTTTTCGCAATGAAATTTAAAAATATATATTTCTGTTTTACATTCTAAACACTTAAACATAAACACACAAAAAAAAAAAAAAAAAAACAAAAGGAAAATAAAGTAAAATAAAATTTAAATTATTACATTGACTTCGTGATCTCAGATTTCACAAAAATGTCAATCGTCGTCAAACGACAATGTAAAAAACGTAATTTCACGTTTTTGTATTGATATCGATGCTCTCGTTCGCACTGAGGTATGTTCCCTCTTCACCATCAGAGACTGATTTATTAAAGGATAGAAATACACAGCGCGCTTTTAATAAGCAAAAGACGGTTTAATTAAAACTTCCGAAAATGCAATGGAAGAATATTTGCTTTGCTTGCGATGAGGAGAAGTTGCCCTCCATTTTCCAGGGAATCATTGAAATTAACTTATATACATAGAAGCCGTTGCATCCTGACATGTTCATTAGTCGTAACATTTGGGGGACACCTGTGAGACCAGTGTCTCTATCTCCTATTCTTATATTACCTGTAGAGGGATTTGTTATGGACTTCAGTTTTACAAGAATATTAAGGGGATAAAACATTCTATGTGTTTGCCTTGAAGTGGTTACTAACAAGATATCCATGATAGCCGTAACAAGGCCGCTGACTTCACTTGCAGTTTTCCCCTTCAATGCCTCAAGTATTTCGTCAATCATGGGGATGTGGGACATCGACCTCTTAGCAGCTGTAGTCCATTTTCTTACGATATTTTTCCTCAGATCGTATGTGACAGAGCAATACAGTTCCCGCTCCAAGGGATTGAGGCATTGAACTTCTCTGTTCCGGTGGGAAAGTACACCCCTCCATTAGAATGCGATGAGCGCCAGTGATTCCGTATGAGGCAACTGGAAGGATGTCCTTGATCCGTTAGCGCACCTAACTGGCATATTGGTGTGACCGCTCCTAAGTTCTCCTAGTCTATGTCTATATCCAGAGAAAAAGTCTAAGTAAGGAGCCGCTGTAGAATACCAATTTTCTGCATCTCCTGCTCTGTATTGTCTGAAGAGTAGTCCAAAAATTGTTGCAATCTCTACCATCTTCTTTTCCAATTCTATGTGTTTTAAAGAGCAGCTGGTTCCTAAAAAATTCAAGCTGAATTCCCTAGCTTGACCCATTTTTGCCAATTGGTTAGCAGTTCTCCCGTATGTACTTTGCCTCTTGATGTTGAAGGTATGGAAGACTATGGCGGTGACCATTCAAGACCTATATAGAAGCGTCAGCAGCTGGTATTTGCATCCTTATCATATTATAGATTTCTTCAGCGAATGTAACCAGGAAGTTTAACACCTTTTCTTTCTGATCCTCATTCAAGTTGGCTCTTGATCGTCTTGCTGTGGGCAGCTCTTGCAATGTGTCTGGGTTGACTATAAGATCATTATTACTTTGGTCAGTTTCCATCGCAGTTGTAGTACTTTGATCGGTCATTTTAGTTTGGTTTTGAAGATACGTTTTGTTAGAGTAAAGAACCTGCGTTTGCTTCTTAATTAAAAAAAAAAAGTAAAAAACGGTTTTGGATTAATCAATTCCAAAAATCAGAAATCGCATTTCAAAAGATCGATTTTCTGAAGAATCGATTTAAATCGAACATCCCTACTAACGATCCACCTATGCTCCTAACCTAACACTCGATTTCGAGGGCGAGTGGCGGAACTGCGGGACGGGGGACGGTTAGGGTTAGTTTAGGAAAGTTAAAATAAACCAGAGACTATTGCTACGAAGAGAAAATAACGTTTTTTGTTTTTGTAAACGTAAGCGGCGTCACATACCACTCAAGCTAAAAAAATGCAGTAATTTACATTGTAAGCAGTATAGGTATTATTGTGTAAAATAAAATCTAACAATCCCTGCGACAGCTTCCGGAGACCGAGAAGATGCCCTTTCCTCGTTTCCTTCTCCTGTCGCAGAGAGTTCTGCTGCAGTCGTAGCAGAAGATTGTCCACCCCTTGCTAAAGCCCCACGGCCACTACTACCTAACACAATACTTCCAGGTCGTAAACTTCTTCGGAGGAAAAGACTCGAACGCCGGCTCGTCGTTTCGACACGAAATATCTCAGCAATTGATAAGTTTCCATCTCCAGAAACCGCTGTTGAAACTCAAAATAGGTAACATTTTGAGCTTCACAGCCGTTGAAGGAGATCGATTCATATCGTTTGAAGAAAAAATCTATAAAAATTACCATTTTGTGGTTCTTTTCCATGTCTTCAAACGAGGTGCACCTTCTACATCGTGCCCAGGTCGAAATGATTAATGGTCAAACCAAACCAAACCAAACTAATTATTTATTAAAATATGGTAATCACGTTGGCGGTTGGCGCCGAAATGAAGAATGGACGGCATTGTCATGGACCACTGGACGCCAAACTATACCAGAAAACCACGAGCGGACTTTGGCGTTTCTCTTATCGCATCGTGATTTTTGGTCGATCATATCGAATGATTTGCAAAATCGATTCGAAAAATCACCTGGCTAAATCGATCTTTAAGTGAAATCAATCTTTTAATTAAATTACGACTCTGATTTCCGTTTCACACAACATAAATCCATATATTTCTGGCCACATGACTTTACAAAGACACAAAACATAAAACAAAATAAAGTAAAATAAGAACTGAAATTACATACGGTGACAAAAACAATTTCACAAAATGTCAATCGTCGTCAAACGACAAATATAAAAAACGTAATTTCCGTTTTTGGATTAGTATAGTCAGTTCGCACTGAGTATATTTTTCTCCTTGCTCAGAGACTGATTTATTAAAGGATAGAAATACACAGCGCGCTTTTAATAAGCAAAAGACGGTTTAATTAAAACTTCAAATACGGAATCGACGATTAACTTATATACATAGAAGCCGTTGCATCCTGACATGTTCATTAGTCGTAACATTTGGGGGACACCTGTGAGACCAGTGTCTCTATCTCCTATTCTTATATTACCTGTAGTGGGATTTGTTATGGACTTCAGTTTTACAAGAATATTAAGGGGATAAAACATTCTATGTGTTTGCCTTGAAGTGGTTACTAACAAGATATCCATGATAGCCGTAACAAGGCCGCTGACTTCACTTGCAGTTTTCCCCTTCAATGCCTCAAGTATTTCGTCAATCATGGGGATGTGGGACATCGACCTCTTAGCAGCTGCCAGTCATTTTACGATATTTTCCTCAGATCGTATGTGACAGAGCGATACAGTTCCCGCTCCAAGGGATTGAGGCATTGAACTTCTCTGTTCCGGTGGGAAAGTACACCCCTCCATTAGAATGTGATGAGCGCAGTGATTCCGTATGTGTTTTTAAAACAACAAATGTACAAAATGTACAGGCTAGTAGTAGTACCGTTTTTAGTAAAACGATGATATTACTAGCCCATTTGTTTGCAAAAAGAAAACTATTTAAATCTTTATAAAAGAGTATACCATTAATTAAATATACCACCTTAATTAGTATTTCCGCCCAAATACTAATTAATTACATATTTAATTGTGTTCGGTAATAAATTATTCTAAATAAATGTGGATTTGAATCAGAAATCAATATAATAATAAGTTATGAAAATGAACGTCTGTTATAAATAAGCATTTGTCAAAAAATAAAATATCATTTTTAAGGTGTTAGTTTTTTTACCACACTGTCTAATACACATAAATAATTCAGTTTTTTAGTATTTGGAGCAATTATTATTAAGCAACGCAAACAGTCAATTAATGTAGTTTGAATACTGGAATGATATTAATTGGTCCTCTTTATTTAAACAGTTTTTTTTATTTTTTAATGAAATAAACGAACTATATTGACAATATTAGTATCTGTACTCTTTAAAAATTTGATACATCTTTAAAAATAATCTAAAATGTCAGTATTCCATGGGTATATTGATAAATGAGTTCTAAATTACAAGAAAATGCATTTTCTACGGAAGCTTGAAGAGATAGGTAAAAAATGGTATAACACAATTTGATAGACAATTAAATTGTGCATCTGATTCTCATAAAATATACAGGGTGTTCCATTTAAATTAAACAAGTTATTGCCGTTTAAAGCTAATAATTATTATTTAAAATAAATATTTAGACACTCTGTATAAGGTAGTAAAATTTTTATTATTGCAACACAATAACTGATCAATAAATAAACTTCAGTAAATAGTTAGTATTAAAAATTTTGATACCCTCGGAGAAATGAAGCCTTAAAATTTATACTGCAATTTCACAAAATTGAAAATATTTAAAAAACGGTAAGTTTTAAGTATAATAACCCTTAATCAAATTTACCTTTATTTTAATCGTAGAAATTAAAAATGTAAAAATATACAGGGTGTTCTATTTAAAAAAATACAAGTTTGATATTTTTTGTTTATTTGGGACACTCTGTAACATGTAAAAATATTTTTAAATTGTAGCTCTAATAGTCCTTCAACGAACCCAAAACTTACAATTTGTAAAAATCTAATCGTTTAGCTACAATATTCCGTGTCGTATGTGGTGAACAAACCTGTATAAATAAACTAATTTTTATCGAAATAATGCATTGTCTTTGGTGAGAAAATTCTCTCAATCGTCTAGAATTCGATACGCCACTAACAGATTATCAAACTTTTAGTACCGAGTACGTTATTCTACTAGGTGCGTTAAATGTACTTGGAATTTATGGTTTTTAAATGAGAAATTCTAGGAAGTGTAAGTTACCTTACATTATACGATAAGTTTTATTAGATTTTCGAGTTTTACGACAGCAAAAATATACCTATTATGTGTTTTTACACATTATTAAATGTTGAGTCGATTTTCTAACTAAATCTTTATAAAATTATATATGATTAAATATGGTATAGAAATGCCCTAAACTGAGAAATACCATCCTAATGAAATGATACAGAATCGATAGAAACATAACGTTTAAACTAGATAGAAGCCCAAAACTCAAAACGTATTCTAGAAGCATAATTCTGTATTGAAATTCTATACAGCTATGTTAGCCATTAACCTAACTTAAAGTCCACCGACCGACTGCCAAATCACAAACTTGAAATTGTAACATGCGGTTCATAAAGATGTATTATCAATATTCTTTGAGTCTAATCGAAGACATGTCTTTGATAATTCGTTGATGTTGATAATAAGTTTTTTTTGTCTTTTACAACATAAAATATAGAGAAATCCTAGTAGGGAGCGTCCATTAATTACACAAGGCGTTTTTGAGCATTTTTTTTGACCCCTCCTCCACTCTAATGTAATATCGTGAGATTTGTCTCTACCCCTCCCCTAATATCATGTGAGATCTTTCAAAAGTTGTATTTTTAATAAAAACAACTTCGCACTGCAAACAATTTGCATTTTGAGATTGTTTAGACTGTAATCTAAAATCCCAATGACAAAAATTAAATAATACCTACTTATAGAAGATAAAATTTATAGATTTTAATATACAAAGTGTCCCAGAAATAAATGTAGATATTTTCTCACTGGTAGCCACGGCCCCCAGAAACACACTTTCGGCCCCAGAAACACACCTATGAGGATGTTTTGTGAAAAAAAAATGTAAGGGGAATTTATATTTTTATTGACATTTTCCGTGAAATTTTAAAAACTTTTTAGTGTAACTTGTTTATTCAATTCGATTTCTCTACGATGTATCTAAACTTTGCAGTGCTCTAAACTTGCCACCTCCAAGATTATCCATACTCAACATATATATATTCTCAACATATATTCACTGTAATTTTAAATTTGTACATAAAAAATTACGAGTATTAATTCAAATCATATCAGTGTCTATTACTAACAATTCTAGAAATCAACCACATTAATTATTTTTACTCATACATTTTTATACACAAGTGGAACATAACTACAAAAATAGGCTGTCTTGAAATGTGCCATATAAGAAGAAAAAAACAATTTGATACTAATTACAAAACAGATACTAGTCAACTCAGTCATATACAGGGTGGTTCACCACATGACACTGAGTATTGTAGGCTAAACAATTATTTTTACAAATTGTAAGTTTTGGTTTCGTGGAAGGACTATTAGAGCTACAATTTAAAAAATATTTTTACAAGATAGTTAGAGTGTCCCAAATATGTAAAAATTATTATGTGTAGTTGTATTTTTTAAATGGAACACCCTATATATTATTCTATTTTTAGATTCTACGATTGAAATAAAGGTAGAATTTCATTAAGCTTTTTATCACACACTTAAACCTTACTGTTTTTGAAATATTTTCAATTTTATGAAATTGCAGTAAAATTGTAAGGCTTCATTTCTCCAAGGGTTTCTGAAGTTTTTAATACTAAATATTTACAGAAATTTGTTTATTGATCAGATAATGTTTTGTAATAATAACTTGTAATAATAACACCTTATACAGAGTGTCTAAAAATTTATATTCAATAATTACTAGCTTTAAACGGCAATAAACTGTTTAATTTAAATGGAACACTCTGTATATTTTACGAGAATCAGATGCACAACTTAATTGTCATCAAATTGTGTTATACCATTTTTACCTATCTGTTCAAGTTTTCGTAGAAAATGCATTTTCTTATAATTTAGACCTCATTTATTTATTATTTTCTCATTTATTTATTTATTCATGGAATATTGACATTTTAGATTATTTTTAAAAAGTGGCGGATACAGAGGGGGGCCCATGGGGCCCCCCCCCTATAATCTATCAATTTGGTTAAATATTTAAATATTAGGCTTTTGGGTTACAAATAGCGCCCTAAAAAGCATATTCTACATTACTTTTTATTTGGGCCTCCCTAAAATAAATGCATGTATCCGCCCCTGCTTTTAAATATGTAACAAATTTTCAAAAAGTACAGATACTAATTTTGTCGATGTAGTTCGCTTATTTCATTAAAAGATGTTTAAATATTTTTTGTTAAAGGGGACCAATTAATATGATCTCAGTATTCAAACTACATTAATTGACCGTTTAAGTTGATTAATAATAATTATTGCTCCAAATACTAAAAAACTGAATTTTGTACGTGTATTAGACAGTGTGGTAAAAAGTAACACCTTATAAATTTTATTTCATTTTTTGACAAATGCTTATTTATAACAACAGAGACGTTCGTTTTCATAACTTATTATCGTATCGAACTCTAAGTCAAATCCACATTTAGAATAATTTATTAACCAAAAAACAATTAAGTATGTAATTATCTAATTTTTGGGCGGAAATAATGGTGGTCTATTAATAATTAGTAATAATTGGTATACTCTTTTACAAAGATTTAAATAGTTTTCTTTTGTAAACAAATGGGCTTGCAATATTAAAAAAATCTAAAATGTCAATATTCCATGGGTATAGTGATAAATGGGGTCT